ATCTAGGCCTAGAATGTGACCCATGAAACCGAAGAATCTGATAAATTTATCTAATGAAATGTCACTGAAGAAAGAGTCATAGACCATATTATATCCTTCTTAGAAAAAGCAGGGGTAGGTGGATTACAGGTGCCCTTTTGCACATTCAGATGCATACACGTAAACCCACATAATTTCAATCCCATCTTCATTTCTCATTTCACTAATACCTTCTGGAAATATAGCCTATTGGAAACCATTCTAAAACACAATAGGCTGTTATCTCTCTAGTGCCCATTTTCTGCTCAGCACACAGTGACAACATGTTTATCAAGTTTGTGGAAGTATCAACAGTCCAAGACTTGCCCCTCCATTAAGCACTGTATTCTACAAAAGCTCAGTTGAGGAGTAATTGTAAGTAGGCACAGAAAGATAATGCAGATAGTACTGAAAGAATAACAAAATAAGGAAAGTTAGCAAGAATCTAACTCAAAGTTCAGAATAAGTTCAAGCTGTTGCTCTGGCATATGCTTTCACTTGGGACCAGAGTGAAGGGTGGGAAATTTCAAAATTACCCAACATGTTTTCTTGTTATACTTGGAAAGATGTCTAGTGTTATTTTTTCTTTTTCCATTTATGAAATGAGCCCAATTGCTTGTGTTTCTATGATGCATTCACACCACTAAGAATTAAAGCACTATCTGGGTTCTTTCTTCTCTACCCAGGCTCACTAACCTGCTAATTGGGAAAAGTCATTAACAGCATGTACTGAATTTATTTGCATGTTGCGACTTGCTGTAACAATAATGCAATGGTATCTTTACCTTTTGCAGTCAAGGTTTCAAACAAAGGAGCCTTGTTAAGGATGTCTTATCAATAAATTTTGACAAGACAGATTGTTAATAACCTATTTTCCAGAGGCAGTCTTTGGATAAGAATTTTATATTAGACTATCAGCTAGATGATCACTGTAAGATCCACAGCTATAGAAGTAAATTAATTTCTCTTTTGGTGTGCCCTGTGACATGGTAGGAACACTAAACCCAAACATTTAAAGTGAGTCTATGAGAGCAGAACATTTGTTTCCATTGGACTTTAAGGTGGGGAATTAGGCAGAAAGCTGGGTCGGGTCAATACAATGCTTTAGCTGATTGTTTAGAGATCAATCACCATCAAGGCAGGAAAGTAACATTTTCTATTTTTTGTTCCTTTTGATCACTGCAATAAGCTAATGGATTGTTAGTGAACTGGAAATTAAATAGCTGACTAATGACTAAGCAATCCAAGAGGAAATGGTTAAATCTTTTACATTTTTTAAATGAATGCATTATAAAGCAGGGGGTTAGCAAACTATGGGCCACGGGCCAAATCCAGCCCACCATTGTTTTTTTGTTTTTTTTTTCAACGTTTATTTATTTTTGGGACAGAGAGAGACAGAGCATGAACGGGGGAGGGGCAGAGAGAGAGGGAGACACAGAATCAGAAACAGGCTCCAGGCTCTGAGCTGTCAGCCCAGAGCCCGACGCGGGGCTCGAACTCACGGACCGCGAGATTGTGACCTGGCTGAAGTCGGACGCTTAACCGACTGTGCCACCCAGGCGCCCCATTGTAAGTAAAGTTTCATTGAAATTTTAGCCACACTCCTTGACATATTGTTTAAGGCTGATTTTATGTTACAACAGCAGAGTTAAGTAGTTGTTGCAAAGACCAATAATACCCAAAGCCTAAAATATTTACTATTTGGCCTCTTACAGAAAAAGTTTACTATATCTACTATAGAGATGTAACTCAATTTTTTTTTTTTTTTTTTTTTTTTTTGTACAAAATACGCTTGATAGACTGCTTACCTAGAGAGGCCAAAGATGTGGATTTCACACCACATACACATGTTAATATCACCTTCTGATGCAAATTCTGTTCTGTCCTCTTAAAAATAAATGCTATTAATCATAAGAGAAATTGTTGTAGCAAAAGTTAGAATGTAAATTATTAGAATTGGGAGCATGCCGTAGAGACCATATAGTTTGAGGTTCTAATTTTATAGATGAGGAAAATGAAACCCAGAAAGGTTAAGAGGTTTGCCCAAGGTTACTCAGCTAATGGCAGAGGCAGGTCACCATTTCTCCTCCTAAAACAAATAATCAAACAGCAAAAGCCCTTTTGATGAAGCCCAGTTCTTCCTGATAAGAGGCAGGGAATATTAATTTTGTTCTTTCAGGAACAACCCTCATTCTATGTCGAGTAAATTCAGTTACTTTAATATAGTGGTTCTCAAATTTCAGGGTGCATGTTGTTTAAAATGAGGATTTCTGGGCTTAATGCCTCCTTTCCAAATTGCTTATGCAGTGGGTCTCAAGAATTTGCATATCTAACAAGTTTTCCAGGCAACACTGATGTGCGGGTCTTGAGAGCACATTTAGGATACACTGGGAATGATTAATTTCTGTCTCTCTCATGTGTAGGGATTTGCTCTAAGGTTGAAACAATGATAACTTGCTCATGGCTTATTAGAGGATGGTAATCAACAAAGGGCTAGCAACACACTATTGCACTATACCAAATAAAGCAAAAAGAAAGAACAAGAACAAATGAGACTAACCACTTTAGTCTAGTTAGCAAGCTCCTGGAAGGTGCAGGGACAGAGATAAAGGAAAGATGATGTAGAAAGTTTTCGTTCTGTGGGGTATAGCAGTTGACAACAGAAGGAAGAAGGGTTTGTGAGGGTAGAAGAGATGACACAAACTGTCAGGATGTCAATATGTTCTCAGCATTTTTAAGTACGTGATTCATTAGGTAGTGATTCAGCATTTACATTATAAGAAATCACCTGGTACTATCTTCTCCCCCACATACAAATGAGTTACTTTAATATGTATGTATGCAGATTTATATAAATATTTATTCCATAAAAGTTTTATGTGAAAGAAAATAACATGTTATTTCCCTATGTTCATAAATTCACAAAATCTCTTTATGGTCAAAGATTTCTTTTACAACTAGAAAGACAAGAAATAGAAATTACATTAAGTACCTAATAACCATGCAACAAACCAGTAAAAAGACAAAGAAAAATGCTAAATTCCCTTGATTCTTTGAGAAAAAGACATTAATAGAAATGAATAAGGAATAGAGGTTTATTTTTCTTGGATACTTTGTAATTTAAGTTGTTTTGCCTTTTCTTGAGAAAAAATGGGGGAGATATTTAATCTCAAAAGATTGAATTTGAACGGGGCAGTGGCGATGAAGAAAAATAATTCACACCCCACCCTCTCACCAATCATCAATAAACACGATTGAAGTGGCTTCTTGTAAGAAAAAGCTCTAAAAATTTAGAACTGAGAAAATTTAAACCTGATGTTTCCATTTCCTTCCAACTTCTCCTGTGTCTGTTGCAACACTTGACTTTTCTTCTGCATCTGTGCCTGTGGATTACTGGATTGCTGGCACCATGGGCTCCCTGACTATTCCTCTTGGGATTATGAGGCCCACTCGGGGCATGGCTGAAACTGAGCTCACCCCTACCCTTCCCCTCTCTTGGCCCCAGTTGCTCCCTCTCTGTACATCCTCACTTCTGTCAAAATTATTATCAATTCTCCTGTCATACAAGCTCGAAAGAAACCTCAGTGAACCCTACCAACTCTTTCTTTCCTACCAAATTTAGCCTGCTCCCAATCCTCTTGATTCCCCCTTTATAATGTTCACACTTATCCTGTTTCTCTCCCTCTCTTCCACTCCCACCCACCCATTCTGAGCTCTCTGCAGGGAATAGTGGTTAGAGCAGGGGCTTCAAATTCAGATACCTAGACTGCACTGCCAGCTCTGAAGCCTCCTAGCTGGGTAACTTTCAGTGGTGAAGTGTCTGAACCTCAACGTCATCATTTTATTTCTAAACTGGGCATAACAACATTGCCCACAGAATTGTTATGTGGATAAGATAGCATATTCAAAATGCTTAGCACCGTGTCCCATACAATGCTCACAGTGACACACAGAAATGCAGTCACTAGAGTGATTATAACAGTTCTTATGTGAGAGGAACACTTACAGTGTAGCTTCAACTTTCATTTTCCCCTTATATACAAATATTCACTCTCATCTATAATCTTGTATTCAAAATTCTATTTTACTTTCTCACATATAATCTTTATTGTTTTTAACGAATGATTCATCCTCTGCTCCAGATGAGAAAGAACCCTGTGGAAAGAGAAAAGCAAGAAGTATTTCCTTCCACATTGACCGTGTAGGGGTAGTGGTGAAATTTATTCCTTTGTGCAAATGTCAGGAAAATAGAGAAGGCTCTGTCCTTTCTCCCACAGTAGTGTTTATATATCCCATTTAAGTTTCTAGGGTGCTTTCACATTTGTCATTTCTCTGAACCCTAGTGTTATGGATCAAATTGTGTCCCAGCTCCAAATTCTTACGTTAAAGTCTAAAACCCCAATACCTCAGAATGTGATATTATTTGGAAATCGAGTCATGCATATATAATTAGTTATGGTGACGTGATTCTGGAGTAGAGTGGGCCCCTAATCCAAGATGACCAGAGTCCTTATGAGAAGGGGAAATCTGGACACAGATGCACACACTAGGAGAACATCATGTGAGCATGAAATCATGGGTAATGCAGAAGTCAAGGAACACCAAAGATGGCCAACAAACTACCAGATGCTACAGAGAGGCATGGAACAGATTCCTCTTCACACCTCAGAGGAAGCATGGCCTTGTTGACACCTTGACATCAGATTTCTAGCCTGAAGAACTATGAGATGATAAATTCCCATTGTTTTAAGCCACTCAGTTTGTGGTAGTCTGTTACGGCAACTAGCAAATTAATATACCTGCAAAGATGCTATGAGACAGAGCAGATGGTGACTCTCAAGCTGGCTAGGGTCTGGTGGATGGGACCAGACAAGGTGAGAGCAATGAGTGGTGCCAGGCATGTCATGGGACCAGGTTGGATCCTTATGTAGCACCTCTGTTTCCTTCTCTGCTCACGTCTGGCAAGGAAGGGACTAGGAGGTTAGATTAGAAAAGGAGGTTTGAGTTAGCCTCTGAAAAGCCTGAAAGTTCGGGTAGCTACATCCCCATTTGCTGAAGGTTCATCTTACTATAAGGGAGGGGAGTTCTACAGGGATGTTAAAGAGTGGAAGGTTTCTTGCTCCCAGCCCAACCAGCCTGGGATGGTTTTTAGTTTGTAGAATTTTCCATCTAACACAATTTCCCAATACACTGGATCCTCATACTCAACCAACACACTCCCTGTTGCTTTTAATCCACAGGCCACAACAAATCATAATCATGCTTTTAAAAGCAAGAGGGTAAGTTTACCCATAACCATACCAATAGGTATAGAACATATGCCAGCACTGTCTTATTTTCTACTTCTGAGGCTTTTCCTCTTTAATTATGAATTTATGACAGTTTAATTGATAACTAAATTGCCTGGAAGTCTGATATCAAGATAAGTAAGGTTTTATTTTAATCATAAAATAATTCCTTTCAAATTTACCATCTGAAAAGCATGCAGGTCTTATCCCTTGGGAGCTAATTATGGTACCTTCATGATGATGAGAATGGCAGCTCAGCTTGACCCAGGAAACAGATCATGCCCTAGGTAATATAGACCATTTTTTTCCTCTATACAGACACTACATTCCCACAATGCTAACTACTTTTTCCCACAATACCAATGTGAAGACACCTGAAGATACCAGACAATCTGAAGACACCTTGTTTTCTCAATGCCTTCTTCACAGTCTTCATCTATACATCTCCATCTACCCTCCTCTTTTTTTTCTGAAAAAATGCCCATTTATCTTTTTATCAGCTGGATCATTTCTTTTTTCTGTGAAGCTTCCCCTGATCCACCCCTTCATCCCCCTCCTCCACCCTTACTCCCTAGACAGGCAAGACTGAGGGACTCTTTCTAGCCTCTCATATCACCAAGGAAAGAAATGGAAGCCGGGCAGATCTGGCCATGGAAGATCTGTAAGAGACCATGTCAAGGGTTTGCAGAGTGCTGAAGTATGTTAGGCTCAGTGAGGGTAGAGACTGGGAGACTTCTGTGGTGGTAGCATTTAGGACAGGGAGCAGATGAGGTGACAGAAAAGGAAAAGTGAGTCTAACATGACTCTGAGATTTTGATCCTGGCTGACTTAGGGCAGGTGTCACAAACTTGTTCTGTAAAGGTTCAGATACTAAATATTTTAGGCTCTGTGGGCCATAGAGTTTCTGTCACAACCACTCAACTCTGCCACTGTGGAACAAACACAGCCACAGACAATATATCGATGAAGTGTGACTATGTTGCAATAAAATTTAATTTACACAAACAGGTGGTAGATCAAATTCGGCTTGTGGGCTATTGTTGCAAACCCAACTGAGAGGATGGGGGTTTCGTTATCACAAATAGAGGCTCTAAGTGCTAAAGCCTGCAGATGAGGACAAACTGGCAGAGGTGGGACTCAGATGAATTTGGATGAGCCGAGTCTGAGATGCCGGCATGATTTCAATATGAAAGGGTCCAGTTTGGAACAGACAACTGAAAAAATCAAGATGGACACAAGGCTGACGTATTAGTTTTACTTTAAAATAATTTCTATAGGAGATAATGTATATGAAGCATTTAAAAGATATGAAGTTATTTTTGTTACAGTTTCCAGAATTCAACTTTCATGTGCAAGTCATTTGAAGAAGGCCTGCAGTTTGAGACTAGCAAATAAGGAGTCAGGGGGCCCCCTTAATGTCACTGATTGGTCAACATAGGACTCTAAAATAGTAAGTCTCCTGTGGCAACTTGAAAACAAGCCAAATAAAAAACAAAACCTGTTCTTTCCCCTGTTTCCTCTATCCTCCTTAGCAGTAACCTAAGCTAGGGTCATAGGGATTACCTGAAATTTCTTATTCTCCTTTCGAATACTCCTTCTATTCATTTGGCTTACTTCATATTTTTAGTATTTCAGATGCTGATCTTTCCTCTTCATTGCCGCTGCCTTACTTTTAGGCTCCCATTAGTTTTTGCCTGAATCACTACAATAATCATTCTCCTAATCCTTGACCTTATCTTATACTACTACTAATATTATTATAATATTATTAAATACTAATAATCCCTATACTAACACTCACTCTTGCATTCTCTGTGCTGGGTTTACCATTGATTTCAGAGATGCACTTGAAGAATGTGTGTTTCCCTTCTCTATAAGACGCTATTGGTCCAAAGAATCTGCTTCCAAAGGGAGAAGGCTTTCATGAGGGAAAATAACTGGTTCTTCCTGGTCACTTTTGCTCCCTTGTATCAAGACCAGTAGTTAGGCAAGGAAGAAGCACCGTCCCAACAGAAATAATTGACCCTAATGACCAGGAGACAGTAGGGATGTTTGTTACACACTGGGAACAGGGAGAATATATTTGGCACTCAGATGATTCACTGTGGTGTCTCTTGCTTCTCTCCTAATTTTGATAATAAATGGACAAATGCAGAAGCAGGTTTGTCCAATTGTGACAATAAATGGACAAGTACAGAAGTTGCACTTCTAAACTTAAGGATGAGAGTCAGGGTCACCCCCTCAGGTAATCCCCTTAGACTAGCAGAGGTACTAGACTAGCAGAGAATAAGAATAATCTAGAATGGGTAGTCAAACAAAAAGATGATAAGAATTAGTTGCAACTCTGAGACTAGCTATAATCATGGAGACTCCAGTTTTATTCTGCTAACTTTTCTTATGTTAAGTCTTCCTGGAAAAGAGACGAACCAGAATCCTGGAAGAGTTCTTCTCAGTGGGGATGAAGCAAGCAGATCTGAGTGATGTAGGGGGTGAACTCTAGTGGATGCTGAGGTGCACAGCCTAGGTCCCCTCTGCAGGACCAAGGCCCCCACACTCCTGCCTGACAGGAATGTTGCCTGTTGACTGCTCCAAGCTGGGGCCTTCCTCAGGGTATAAAACCTAGCCCCTGTTTTAGTTTGGGATATAGCTAAAGAACTAAACCAGCCCAAGGGCTCCTGTGGGAGTGGCTGATGCCTCTGTTGCAAACTCATCAGTTCAACTTCTTCCCCTGCCCAGTCCTGCTTCCCTTACTCCCTTATGAGTACTGTTCCTGAAGACACTCCACAATAAGCCACCCACTTGCAAATCCCATCCCAGCGTCTCTTCCCCTGGGGTCCCAACCTATGACATCAATATTACAACATTTTCCAAGTGGGTAGGTACCATTTCAAGTCTTGGAATTAAGTACGCACATTTTTTATTAATAAAAACTGTGTTCTTGATTCTTTGAAAGTTCAGAACCTACAATGCTTCCTATCTACGGCAGCCTCTCTGCTCACAGGCCCAACTAGTTCAGTCACTGTTCATGGCACCTCCTCAGGCACATCATTTAAATTCTTTGGCCTCATTTTAAGCCAGCCAGGAAATTGAGCCCAAACTCTAGCCTGGAGACCTTTGAAAATCATGTTAGAGCCATATTAATTCAATTTCTATTACTTTGGTTATATTTTATGATATATTTAAAACTGTCACTTTTTAATCATCCTGATTTTCATTGTTAAAAGATGAATGATGTACTCTAACCTGATTCAATCAGCTGGACCCAATATGTGAGATGAAAGCCATGTAATGTTGAAAACGCTGCTGACCAAATAAAATTTTCCAGGATACAAAACAAGTAGGTTAAGGAGGTCAATATTTTGCTTCATGGTCACTTTACTGCAATCGTCAGTGATGAAGATAAATGTAGTCTGAAATTGTGTCCATGTTACGTAGTCAGTCAATACATCCTAATATGGAGGAAGTGCACTTATAAGGTGAATATGACCTTTGGCATTTGATGGTGTTTCAAAGTACTTCCAAGTAAGACTGTCTATTTAATTTGTGGAACTCAGTGCAAAAGGAAAACACAGGGCTCTTATTGAAGAATTCTCAAGAATCTTTAAGATAACGACAGTAGAGCATTAAAACCAGCACAAAGCCCTTCTAAGCCAGGGGCTCTGTGCAGATGCAGAGGTCTCATGTCCATGAAGCCAGCTCGGGCCCTAACTTTATGATTCACTTAATTTGTTCTAGAATTTTATTTGATATTTGACAAAGTAAACACGTACTGGAGGGGAGAATATAACTGTAACCAAGAAAGGAGGTAAGCACATTTTATCATATTATTGTCTAAATAACTGCTATGGAAAATAGCATTGTATTTTTTAAAATTTATTTATTGATTCTGAGAGAAACACAGAGAGAGTAGCAGGGAGGGGCAGAGAGAGAGGGAGAGAGAGAATCCCAAGCAGGCTCCATGCTGTCAGCACAGAGCCCAGTGTGGGCTTGAATCCACTAACTGTGAGATCATGACCTGAGCCGAAATCAAGAGTCAGATGTTTAACTGACTGAGCCAGCTAGGCACCCCATAACATTATAATATTTTTTAAAAATGTTTCATTTAATATTTTTAACTGTTAATTACTCAAAATCTCAAAAATCAAATTAGTAATACGTTTCATGGATATGTAGGATTTTAAGGTTTAAAAGGCAATTGGTCTGCAGATACTTACTTTGGAGAAGGAAGAAATTATCAAATTTTTCCTTTTATGTAAATGAGCCTATGAAATGAGCCTATATTGTACTTTCTACTGAGAAAAAATTATTTAGGAAATATTTGTCTTTCTGTGTCTGGGTTATTTATTTCACTTAGCATAATGTCCTCCAGTTTCATCCATTTTGTTGCAAAGGGCAAGACATCCTTTTTTGTTGAGAGATTTTATCATGAATGGATGTTGAATTTTTTCAAATGCTTTTTCTACATCTATTAAAATGATCATACGATTTTAATTCTTCATTTGTTTATGTGGTATATCACTTTTACTGATTTGCCTATGTTGAACCATCCTTGCTTCTCAAGAATAAATCCCAATCGGTCATATGTATAACTCTTTCTAATGTGCTGTTGTATTCAGTTTGCTATTATTTTGTTGAGAATTTTTACATCAGGGATGCTGGCCTATAGTCATCTTTTCTTGCGGTGCATTTGTCTGGTTTTGGTACTGGGTGATGTTGATCTGACAAAATGAGTTTGGAAATATTCCCTCTTCTATTGTTTGGAAGAGTTTAAAAAGGATTCTTTTTTAAATGTTTGGATTAATTCACCTGTGAAAGCCTCTAGTCCTGAAATTTTCTTTTTAGGAGGTTTTGATTACCGATTCAACCTCCTTATTTGTTACTGATCTGTTCAGGCTTTCTATTTCTTCTTTGGTCAGTCCAGGTGGATATATGCTTCTGGAATTCATCCATTTCTTCTAAAGTGTCCAATTTATTTGTGTGTCATTGTTCATAATAGTCCTTTATGATCATTTTTATTTCTGTGGCATCAGTTATAATCTCTCCTCTCTCATTTCTGATTTTCTTTAAGTCTTTTCCCGTTATTTTCTTGATCAGTCTAGGTAAGGGCTTATTGACATTGCTTTTAGTTTCATTACTTTTAGTTTCACTGATTTTTTCTATTGTTTTTGTTGTTGTTGTTGTTGTTGTTGTTCTCTATTTCATTTATTGCTGTTCTAATCTTTGTTATCACCTTCCTTATGCTAACTTTGGGCAAGTTTTGGAGCTTCTTGGAAGGAAGGGACAAACAGAAAAAAATTACTTGAAGGTGATTTATACAGTGGGAAATTAGTGGCATATGAATTATATGCTCTTTGGAGGGTGAGGCCATTTGTAATTTGTGAAAACCCAGGAAATTTGTGCTGTTAGTTCCTTAAAATAGTTTTAAAAAGAAAAACTGGCCATATTTAACCAAGTATAATCTTCTCTGAGGAAGTACTCCAATCCCACTCTTACCCAGTGACATTTTCTGGCTCTGTTAATGTTTGGGCAGATGAAGAGGGAGTCACAATGACACAATAAATTAATACACTTCCAAGAGACTCTTGTGAAATACTAAAGTATACTTCCAAACCAGAAAAGGCTACTTACACATTCTTCATGTTGATAATAGTATTTAATTTTTGAAACTTTTCTGAGGATCCAGAGGGATACTTTGTGAATTATACCTTATGAAATGAGAAAGATAATTCAGTTCTAATGGTTTTTACATAGCCAAGTGATGCATTTTCAAATTTGGCAACAATCTATAAATATTGTAATTCTCATGCTTGGATGATGATCAGTAATTAGAAGAAGGGAAGGCAGGAACACATGTCTCACTGAGGAGCTTTTCAAATGAGCAGATTCCCCATCTTCCGCCAGAAATTGTGACCACTGTGTCCAGAGAGTTGCATGTCCACATGCAACATGCATAGTAGATGATTCTCATGCAAATGGTCCACACTCTTAAATATACCAGAAGAAACTCTACCTGCTGGAATCAGTCCAAGGAGTATCTGTTTTGCTTTTCCATTCACTTTTTAGGTCAGTTAGCATGATTCCATCCTCTTCTTTAGAGCTATTGATTTAGAACATTCATGGGTGTGACCCCAAAAGAGATCATTTAAAAATGGTCCTGGGGGATTATAATAATCCATTGGTTTCCTACTGGATTTGGTATCCAGTGCCCCAGAACAGTGTTTGTCAAAGTTGATTCAAGAATCAATTGTATCAGCACCACCTTTGAGCTAGATAAAATGTAGATTTTGGGGCTCTATCTTTAGGCTCATGTACTCTGAGTTGAGACCTATAAAAATAATTTTTAACTAGCTCTGTCCCTGATGTCTGAGAATATCCCAGTAAACAGTTTGTTCCTGGTAAAGCAACAAAGGATCAAAACTACAGTAAAAATAGTTACAGGACTGGTTGTCCTACTAGGCATGTCAAAGATTCAGATCAGACAGAGCATGAAAACCAGCAGGATGCCAGCTTCACATTAGGCGGGTGTAAGAGAAATGGGCTTACTCAATAGTCTATAATTAAAGAATAAGGGAGAAATGGTGAGAATCAGCAAGAGGCATTCACAAGAGGACACAGAGGTCTCTCTGGGGAGTTCTAAGGACTGCAGTCTGAGCAGAAGAATGAATTCAAGAACTGCAGAGCTCACTTTCAGAGTTAGAGTTTAGTCATAGGATAATGAGATGATTTTTTTTTATTAACAGGTTTTACTTTCAGAAAAAAATTGAAAGTTTTACATTGGAAGTGTCCCCTACATTTTATGTTCAAATAGGAGGAAAAGTAATTATCTAGATCAAATTAAATAAACATAGATTTACCAGTTATAGAGTGAGCTCCTTTAGGGCAGAAATTGATCATTTTAATTTCCTTTCCTTATTTTCATTTTTAAAAAATTGTATTTAAATTCAAGTTAGTTAACATATGTAGAATTTAGTGATTCATCACTTACATATAACACCTGAGATATCTTCATTGTATTGTCTTAGGGCTCTTTGGTTTGAAAAATAGTCATTCAGGCTAACTTAAACAAAAGGAAATTTACTGTAGGAATGCTCATAGAGTGAAAACCAGATGAAATATACAAAAATGCAAGGGCTCAATGCTAGAGATGGAAGAGGCTCTAAATGCCTATAAACAGAAAACTTAAAGACTGTCACTCTGGTGCCCTGCCATTAGCAACACTCAGCTGCTCTCAACCTGTCTGGAGTGTTCTAGGTTTTCTGCTTTAAAATGAGTATTTTTTCCCTTTGATTTCCATTCAGTTTTTCAAACAGGGAATCTAACTGCCTAAGCCAATTGTTGGTCTGTTTTTCTCCAAGTTGGCCAACGTACGGATCAGGTTGCCAACATGGGTCTAATTTTTGCCATGGCAGAGGATGGGGACATGGAATTGGGATTCAGGCATATGCATCAAAATGACTACTTTGGAAGCAAGGGGTGTGGGGGACACAGATTCCTTTAAAATACAGAAGGTAGGCAGCAGACAGGCAGAGTAAACATGTTTGGGACCTTCCTCTTTTTACGTGAATCACTTAATGTCAGCATTAGCTTTTACCTGGGAGCATGATAATTTTGCTTGACCTTTCATGTTGGGGCACATAAGCAAAACAGGCAGAATGGCCTGGCTAGAAATTCAGGGAAAGGGCTGGAACCCTGATAGCTAGACAGGACACTGTCTGGTGGCTGAGACTTAGGAAGACAGAGCTCATTGTTTTGGCCTATATTTCAACAAATTTGTATACCTTGGAATTAGGTCTACACAAACAAATTGATAGGTTTCTACCTTACTTTTCATTTCAATCTTTTGTGGAATTCAGGTAAGTATGTGTGATTTCAGACTATGCTTCAGTACCTTTCTGCCAACTGCAACACTACTGACTTCGAGATTTCAAATCTTGCTAAAATTACAATGACTTCTTTATGGATACATCTCAGGAGATCTATATAATTTTCTCTTCCTCGCTTTGGTAGTTGGTTGGAAAAAGTCCAAGGTATGCCACAATTTCCATGTCTCAGTATGACAGATGTTTTTGTTTGTTGGTTTGCTGGTTTGTTTGTTGCTTATATTCTATAGTCATAGTCAATCCTTTTGAGACTTAGCAAAGGTCAATTTTATTTAGACTTGTAAAAATGTGAGGCATTACAGTCATTGGTCTTCCCTTATGACAACTAATTTTCCACTTCTTTCATCACAAGAAATCCTAATCTGTAGGGAATAAGTTTAGGAATCCCCTGGGCTTACACCAATGGGGTAACAAGGCATAAAGAAGTACAAAGTCATAGGATGCTCACACCTAAGTGTGGGTAAACAAGATTAGCACACCAGAATGGGGAAGTGAAAAGGCACCGAGAATAGGGAGGTGCAAAGGCACCCCAGAATAGAGAGGGGGTGCAGAGGCCCCAGAATATAGGGGGGGGGGGCAAAAGCCCCCAATACAAAGGTATATGAGGTAAGCAAGATTCAGGGCGAAAACAACCCCCCAATTTAGTACTATAGCAGAAAGCTGCTTTCACAGGAAGGAAGGACCAAATTAGGTAAGCAGGTAAATAGGGCTATAGACCACACGCTGAGGGGCGGTTGATGCTCCCCAGAGTGGAGCAGACTAACAAAAGAAAAGATGCCTTGTTAACCCTGAGGTTATTCCCCTTACCTGTCTTATCCCCTAGGCTAGCTAAGATAAACAGACACAGCACCTCCTGTCTGCCTTTAACAACCATCTGCCCGGTGCCAGGATTTTGTTTTATATTAACCCAAACCCCAAACACCATATATCTTCAAAAGCCCCCTTTTCCCTCATGCCCATGGTCTCTTTGTGCATGCCCATCACGTTTGTAAGCCTTCTGATCCTAATAAAACCGGGGCAATGACACTTACTCAGGGCTCTTGTCTTCTCCTGGACCTGAGCCATCTCTCACTTTTCATCCTGCATCCCACTGTTTTGCTGGCCAAAAGAGAACTTCAGACTTAGAGTCTACGACACTAATCCTACATTTTGTATGCCTTTGAGAAATATCAGTGACTGGCTTTCTGAGGCTAAATTAGAAGAATAATTATTAAATTATTAATTAATGTATATTAAATAAATATATAAATTAATAATGATTAAATTATATCAAATATTTTCAATAATGAAGAAAGGAAAAAATATGGCTAAAAGGGTAAAGGTGAAACATCTAGAAGTAAAAACATTGCATCATATGTCCAGGAACCAGAGTCTAGTCCCAGCTGTGACATTAACTCTGTCTTCTTGGACAAAGTCGCCTAAAACTCTTGAAAAATTAAGGAGTTACATTCGTTCTGTAAACTATACAGTATGAGAAGTTATTTTGGGAATATATATGCATATATATATGTATTTATGTGTATATATAAAGAGTATGTCTATATGTATATGTGTGTACGTGCATATTTAATATATATGTAATATTATCTAGGTAATATATATTACATATATAAAATACATATGCAATGTATTAAAATGCAATGTGTTATATTTAATATATATTACATATGTAATCATATATGTAACATATTGTTTATATATACAAAGAAAACTCAAATTTTCTATATGATTTCTTTGTAAGCTCAAGCTCCCTCTTTGGAAAACCCAGGACTATGTGCTAAGGACTTTGAATTCAGTCAACAGTCAATGTCAATTAATCTATCCATCCATCCATCCATCCATCCATCCCCCCATCCATCCACTTAGTGTTCCTCAAACTCTAAGGTGCTAGATAGTGACACGGTAAGGTTTGATATGTAAAAGGAGAGGAAATAAATCATTCCAACTCTATTTTGTTATTGTTTGTTTGTTTGTTCCTTACTTTAAGTCCTGGGTTTCATTTTATGGAAGGAATTGAGGCAATGTGTCCCTTAAAGCAAGTAGCATGTATCCTTATCTATCCCTAAGAACTACTGGGGTACTCAAAGATATTTGAAAGCATGAATAGGTGAACATATGTGTGAATGTACTTCAGAGACCAAAATGCTAGAAATTTCTCTATGATCTATGCCTTTTGAAGAGCTCCTGTCCAAAGTTTACTATGACTGACAAAACCAGGGACTTGAAGAATGGAATATTTCTCATTCCTCTTTTGTTCAGATTTTACTATGTTTGTGCAGTGGAGGACATTGGAGAGCAGAGAAAGAAGAGGAAAATGGAGGGAAGAATTGAGAAAACATTTTGGAATGTTGTATGCATGGTCAAAAGAGGTCAAAAATTAACCCAGATGGTGCATCAGAATGGCATTACCACTAGCTCTCTCAAGCCCTCCACCCCCACCCCCCCTTCAAACCCAAATCTCTTCTCTTAAGAATAATGAAAATGTTATACTGATGACATGGATGAATACTAATCCATGTGAAATATCAATTTTGTAAAGATAATTTAGAAATAAAAATTATTCTATCCAAATTCCTCATTCCTGTGGCTAGTCAAACTTTCCCTAGATTTAAATAATAGCAAAGGAGAGAGCAATATTCATAGTTGACTTTGTCATTGTGGGAACACAAGCAACCTCAGCCTGAAGGATGCTGAGACTTCAGAGGCAAGCAGGCAAAGAAAGGAGCATATGTTAGGACAAGCTGGCATAAGAGAACTGGAGAGAAATGTAAACCAGGCTACTTGTGGTTGTCTTTGCAAAGGCATTTAGATTTTAAGTCGTTTTTTATTGCAGCTAGCATCCAATTACAGTGACGTGGCCATGGGAGCTTAAGGACCAAGCACTGCCACTTTATTTTTTTATTGTTGCCTATGTGTTATAAAATGGGTGAGTTTAATGCCTAGATCTTTGAGTATATGATTTCTTCTGGAGGCATGATAATCTCACATCCTTTCATAAATGCCATCTAGTCATCCTCATGTGGGCGCTCAGTGAAAGTCTATAACATTATAAGAAATGGAGTTAAATAAAATGCATTTGAATTTTAAAAGCTGCCCTTTATTGCCCATGAAATACCCAGAGGTCTCCTTTTAGCACAAGAAGTCTCTTTTACACTTATGGACAATGGTAGCTATTGCAGACCATTATAGAGTTAAGTTAGCACTTAGGTAAAATTTGGTCATTTTATAAAATCCTAAGGAGTCTATGATGTTTCCGGTTGTCAGAAAAGGTTCTGAAAAGTTATCTATGTTGCTGACACCATGCACGTAAAATTAGGTCCTGAAATGTAGCTTGGACTCGTTCCAAACTGAAATCTTTTCAAAGGTGAAAACACAGGAAGAAGGGATCAAATCAAAGAGTAACCAAATTTGACAACTGCCACAAAGAGAAAAATGGGAAAAGAAATGACACTTTGTGTTTGATCTTGATCATAACATGGAGAAGTTTCCTCCTAAAAAAAGTGGCTTGAATTCCCCCCTTTAATTGATTGGCAAATAGACAATGCTACACCTGTAAGCAGTCAGGTAATAAGAGCAATTAAAAACCAACCCTTCCATTTAAATAAGACCTTATCAAAACTTGCTACCAGAACTTCCCTTTTGAAACAATTCTTTTCAAAGGTTAATTTCAACTGACAGTTGGATATTTAGCATTCCTTTGTGGAAGTCATTTCAATTAAAAATAGGAATTTGTGCCTTAGGCCCAATTAACCCCCCCCCCCCCACCTTTCTAAATTACATCCATAGTAACAGGAACAGCTCTTTCTACCATGGAACATATTTAACCTAGTGTCAAATCCTGGTATAAATCTAACATAGTAATTCCAAAATTTTTCTGAGCCTCCTCTTTGAGAATCTGATGAGAGCAAAAGTAAGAATTCATATTTACACAACAACTTGTCAAAAGTTCAGCAAGTTAAAAAAAAACTTGAAGCCCTTCATAACTCAAATGAAAAATTCCTGAAATAGAGCCTTTGCACTAAAATGTCTAGATGCCCAGCTATACACATAAGCTATTGCTATTGAGTCAGTAGCAGATTCCTAAAAATGGAGTTGCAAAAGAGCTTAGCTATGTCTCATAAAATCTAAGATATTCCTGAAATCTGTTCAGTTTATTGTGCTCAAAGGAGTATCAAAATATTACACTGTTCCTTTGTTTTCATTTTTTTGTAATTTGAGGAACAACTTGTTGTGTTCATTCTGATACTCCAGTGAACCCTTCATGACACAATGTTACTGAAGCCATATCAAATTTGGCAGGTTTAGAGCATGATGATAAATGAGGGATATCCTCTGGCTACCCAATGAGGGTGTGTGAATCAGCAACACTGTATCATATGAACATTTGAGGTCACTGAACCCATCTTATAACCAAATCCAGGGATTCCCTCAAGAGTATTCCTTGACCTATAGTTTTCAAGCCTCTGCTGAGACACCCCAGTGAATCATTACTCCTCGAATGATTCATTGTATTTTGGCAGAGCAGAAAATATTAATAAAATTAATTAATAGTAATAAGGTAAATTTTATTCATTCATGTTGAGCTGAAATCTTCCTCCTAACTTCCATCCTATAACCTCCACATGAAAATAAGTGATGTATAATTTTCAAAAATACAAGATATGTTCTTTTGTGCTTGCTCCTTCTCTTTAAACTTCTCATAAAATTGTTTAATTTGCAATTACAGAATTCATTAAAGCAATGTTAGATATTGATCAGAAGATCATCATAGCAATGCATCACAAAGCTAGAGAGGGATACATTTTGGTAACATGCATGATGCTTAGGAGCATAGCCCCTGGGTTAGACCACCGTGTTTTGAATCCTAGCTCTGCCCCTTACTAGCTGTGTATGCTCCGATGAGTTACTTAACCACTCTGTGCCTCAGTAAGATGGAGGTCTTATTATCTACTTTACAGTGTTGGGAGGATCAAAAGAGCTATCTCTAAAATATCTAGAACAATGCCTTGCTTATAAAAATAATACTTTGGTTCACTGTGAAGAAAAATGTTAACAATCAGAAGAATATATTTCTTGGCACTAATAGAAATTTGAACAAAAACGAGACACCTGATTTTCAGGATTAAGTGTGCAGTCTTGCATCATGTACCAGTTTGAATTAAGACTGAATTAAGTCATCTGCTAAATTTAAGGCCTCAATTTAATTATAACTAATCCAAGGCAAATTCATGGAAGATTAGGCCTTTACCACTTTCACTGTAATGCTTTAAAATATGTAAGGATTGTGCCTTATATAGCTACAGTTCCATCTCATGTTTTAGGCATTCTTCATTTCCTTAGGTCTTATACTTAAGCCACTTTGTATCATTCAGACAGTGAAAAGTACCCATTGATGGAAAGAGTGATTTGTGAAGCCAATGAAGAGGAACAATAACAATGCACATACTTAAGGAAGCTCATGGTGTCTTCACATAGGAATGGTAAATGGCCTTCATCTGCTTACACCAGAAGGCCTGGCAGATATGAAATTAAGTGCTGTGAAAAAAAAAAATAAATCTTTATTTCTTTAAGAATACTCCATAATTCACCAACTTTGCCACTGAGTTTGGCTTTTTTTTCCTTCTGAGAACACAAAAGTAGCAATAACAACAATAATAAAAGGTATTCTTAACTGTCCTCCTTTTTTCCATACAGTTTTGGCAGAACTTGTGAACATCCTCTTTCAACAACTTGTCTAGAGCTCTCAACACTTCCAAGTAATTTAACACTCCACACGGAGCCTTCGTGTCATCAGGCTTATTTCTTGCCCTTGTAGCTGCGTTTCCAAATAATTCGATCCCATTCACTGGCTTCCACAGGTGGCCTCTGGTTTCTCAGGACTAGATAGAAATAGGCCCCCATGGGATAATGAAGTCTTCCATGGCTGGCCGCAAGTTTGCCTTTTAACACCGAACTCTTAAGACTCCAAAATATTCATCATTTGTCACAGCAGATAGTCTGCAGGAGATACTTGGCTTTATAATCGGCAAGACAGGTAATTGTAGTGCAAGAAGGAGTTATGGTCTGAGGTTGGGCCTGCGGTTTATTTTCCATTTGTTACTGGGAGTTGAGTGAGCACCTGAATAGGAATGAAAAAGTCCTGCTGCTTTTTTATTGAATCACCGGTAGCAAGGTCTTCTAGGTAAGGCTATTATAAATTGGGAAGTCATTCTTAATTTTCTATGGCTTATTTTCTTCTCTCATGACTGCCAAGATAGAACTTTGGAAATTGTAAGTTATGTGAATATCATTAGAGAAGATACAAATGATGAAGATTTCAGCACAATCCCTGTTCTTAGAAACCAGAGAGAAGGGCAATCTGCAGCAAGCCAAATCTGTTTCTACACAAAATGGGGTTCACCTGAAATCTCATTCCAAATGCTTACAATCAGCAGTGCAAGAGGGCATGCCTGTGGTTCCCACAGCTTTGTCCCTTTAGGATCATTCTGCAATTTGTATTCACCAAAAGACACTCCTGGGCAATACATAGGGGACTGTTTTTTAACAATGCCAAGGTTAATAAAGCCAAGATTAAAGGTTATGAAAATGTAACACTGAAAGTTGAAAAGCCACACATAACCTAAGATCCCTGGTCTGAGGAAGCATCATGGCTCAGTGAGTCTATTTATTAACCCAGCTTTATGTTTTGGTTTGTCTTCAAAGCTAGAATGGAGCTCCAAACAAGAAAAATAACCACATATTTGGTTGCTCCAAGCAACCAAATAATGCCCAGTGATTTTCTTGATTCCTATTATTTCTTCTTCTGTCACTTGTTCATGCCTTTTGTCTTTATACTGCTGGTCTGTCCCTGGGTTCAAGTGAAGATTATGAAATAACAGAATTTTCCCCGTGAAAATCCCCCAAACAAGTTTGAGAAAATATTCAGAAGATAAATAAGTCATATTCTGAAAATTGGTTGGTTAGAACTGAGAAAATAATTCATTTAGAGAAATAATGCTGTGATGGTTGGTTGGTCAGCGGCTAGCCCAATCCACAAAAGCCACTTTAGTAATTCATTCCATTAATAACTGTTTATTGAGTATTTGCAATGGGTCAGGCACTATGCTGAGCACTGAGAATACTATAAGGAAGGAACAAGTTCCTCTGTCCTGCAATTGTTTACAGCTTTCCCAGGAGACAACAAGTATCAGACAATTGAGAGATAGTAAGATAAATTGTATTTCAGAGGCAGATTAAAAGTCTGGATCTTCTTTTCTTACTTTTATGATATGATTAATAAAAGTGAGTCTTGGAGCACCTGGTTGGCTCAGTTGGTTGAGCGGATGACTTTGGATCAGGTCATGAGCTCACAGTTCATGAGTTTGAGCCCCGCATCGGGCTCTGTGCTGCACAGCTTGGAGCATGAGCCTGCTTCGGATTCTGTGTCTCCCTCTCTCTCTCTCTGCCCTTCTCCCGCTCACACTCTGTGTCTCTCTGTCTCTCTAAAATAAAATAAACATCAAAAAAAAAGTGAGTCTTCATTTCCTGACCCAATTTCATTGTTTTCTAGAGAAAATGGAAAACACACTTGTGAGACTGTTAACTTCTGCTGGTTACCTTTAAGAATCATGGAGAATGCAAAAATTAAAAGACTCAAGATAGGGAAATATCTTCATATTATCAAAAAAGACTAAGCTGCAATTTCCAAAAAATATTAACTAGTAGATGTGATGTCAATCTCAAGTAAGCTTTTAGGAAACATTAATGAAGAAATAGTTTGTAAGCACCTAGAAGTGAAAGCAGAGATTACTAGTTTCAAAAAGCAGTGAAATTCTATATTAAGAAGATTTTTTGATAAACAGAGCAGAGAAAGGCACTTGATGGAAATCTAAATTTTACCAAGATACTTGACAAAATATATCATTATAACACTATGCAT